TTCCTGCGTCATCAGACGCCCCGCGCTTCCCGGCAATAGCCAGGAAAGTAGTAGGGCCATGAGCCGAGCCCAAGCAGTGGCCCTGAGCTCCTCAGAGCTCGCGGGAGCGTTAAGAATTAACCCATACGTCGCAGGGCAACAATCCGAAGGAAGTCGACGGCGTACCTTGCGTTTGGCAAACACAAAGCGGAGGCGTCGCTCCCCACCCACGTCCACTTCCTTGTGACTCTACTGCAGGTTATGCAGTGGAGAAAGTTTCCGGTGCCGTTGCACCCATTGCTCAAAGAGCGCGTCATCGTCTGTAGCGCTTTCGCCAGGGGCGAGCACTACAGGTATTGTCCGCATTGCGGGTACACGAGAGCCACCTCGTTGTGCACTCAGACGAGTGCGATAAGTTTCCAACGGGATTTCTTGTGAGACCAAGAAACGAGCTCGACGAGCTTCTCGTGTGGCAAGTTCATCTTCTGTTCTGGTCGGGAGCCCGATGATGTGGACGTGTAACGATTGAGTTACCGCGTCCTTCGCTTCCAAAGCGGGATCTACAGGGCGGAAGCCATATTCCACACGAAGGTCAATGACCGACTGTGGATGGGCGCGCTTGAGAGCCGCCTTACGGGCAGCTTCAAGCTGCCGCCTCTCTTTCTCGTCAGGTCATTGGTGATCAAACCACGTGCCTCAGTTGACGAGAAGTCAGAGAACGGACATGGGGTCTGCAAGACACGAGCAGAGCTCGTATCGCGCCGGTGGCGCAGCTCGTCTTCCTCGTCATTTCATGCGGGAAAAGGAGTGTCAGACTCATAGTCGACCACATCCTCAACGAGGCCCCTCGGCACTGAAAGCGTGTGCGGAGTTCGACGTTTGTGCTCATCGAGCCTAGGATATACACCCCTCGGTGCTACAGACGCACTGTCCGACGTTGCACCGAGTGCGGGAGATGAAGTTGGGCTCTGCCCATGTTCACCGTCAGAACCGGCGAGACTTGGAGATTTTGGTGTCATTGACACAGGGCTCATTAAGCCAGAAAGTTGTTTGTTCCAACAAATGGAGTTGCAGTGTCTAACGGACACGCGAGCCTCGTTG